ATTGGCCGCTGTGAGGGGCTCCGTCGGCAGCGCGCCAGGATGCCCGGTCACGCCCCAAGGGGGCACCAGTTGGGGCCCAGATGGAGCTTAACTGGCCCCCCTCCTGGGCCCACTCGCCTCTACACCGGGTTCGCAAGCAAAGGGGTCCCCCTTCTTTGTTATTAGGTGAGGGTGAGTTGTGCGATCCCTACCAAATTTGGTACTTGGGGGTTTTTTGACGCGCTGAGTCCGAATCTGGTGGTGCCGAGGCCATCCGGGCATCCCGAAGGACGTCATCGGAGTCCTCGGAGCACGACGACGACGCCACCCCGCACTAGCGGTCTCGCAGTCTCGCACTTGGGCGCTCTGGGCGGGCCGCCGTCTTCACACAGATGCTTAGCGGGTTGGCCTACCCAGCGCTTTGAAGGCGCTCGTGTGCCGGCGCGGGACGAGCGCCGGACTCTTAGGCAACCCATTTAGCCTCACCAATCGTCCCCTTCGTCCACCTCCCCTCCCTCCCTCCCTCCCTTCTTCCCCGCACCCTGTCGTCTATCCCTAACCTCCCGTAACCTTACAAAGTCGCTAAACATACTGCATTTTGCCATACGTATACTTGCCAGGTTGAAAAATGCTGCTTTCCTCAGTAGACGTAGTGTTTTTGAGCGCAGGCAACACCAAACAAAGGCTTTAAACCTCTCCAATGCCCCCTTGAAATCCGTCTGCTCCGACAGATGATCAGCATCGTACTTGCACTGTACACACTCACTGAAGTCTGACACGACCACACTTCACTGATTTTATTTAAAATAAGAAAAATGTGACCGGGGGAGAGCGTCCTTTGGGAACGGGCGTCTAATTGCTGCTCTTCTACAGTTTGAGTCCATAGCGAACCGCGGTGTACTGTACCGGCCGGTCGACGGCCGGCAACAGGGCAACACGTACTACGACTACATGTACTCCGAAGTGAGTATGTTGTTACCGCTCGTCGTTGTCTCGCCGCTTTTCTTCCGTCCCGCCTCGCATGATTTTTTTTATTTACTTTTTAGAGAAACGAATGTCTGCGATTGCTTGTTGCCATTTGCCACTGTTGCCGCTACCTTTTCTTTGCATTTCTGAAGGGCCGTCTAACCTATGAGACCGCGTAGGGAAAATGTTATCTTTCATCGTTTTACTCTCATGATTCTCTCATTTTTCAGGTGCTGTGATATTTGTGGCGGAGAGAGGATGCTCGAGTCAGTTTTCCTCGGAGATGTCACTCCTGTTCGTTTCGTGCAACTGATTTGTCACCACCTGCTAACCAGTATCTTCAGTTCAAACTTCTTCACCATACAAATTCAATGGTTCGTATTGTCTCCATTACATTTCAATTTCTTATCTTGTTTGTTACCATTTACAACTTACAAGCCTTGGGGCCTTGACACAGTGAAAGTTACGAGAGCAGTGTTCTCATTTTGTACCTTTGTGTGTGTATTATATTTTACAGAATCGACTGACAACCAAATGTTTGCTGAGCTTCGACAATTGCCATCAGACAAGACCCCTAAACAATCAAGAGCAAATGTGACTAAGAACTGCACCTCGAAAAGAAGACTGATGTACGTCTTTCAAAGGGGATCGTCGTTCTCTATTGCTTTACCATGATGGATACATTAATGCGAGTGGTTGTGATTAATATTGCTGCTATGCAAGTTGCCTCCTTGTTTAACAAATCAAAATGTTTGTTTTTTGTCAAGTTGTCCGGGTATGTCTCATTGCGTCTGCTGTTATTTTCTCAACATCCCTCTTCGCTTGCCTTAAATGAATTTTTTAGTCTAGTTATAATTGTGTTCAGTGTACCTTTGCTTGAACTGTGATTTCTTTAAATAGAAATTAATTAAAAGAGTGCTTGGTTGTGAAAGAAATGCAATCACCTCGAGTTTACCTTAAAGATATTAATCACTTGCTCATTACTTATTAGCCTCTCTCAAAATCAAGTACTGTAATATCTTATCAGAGAGTCATTTGGCGCTTCATGTTATACCTATTTGCCCCTTCTGTATGCTGACTTTCAAAGCGCTTTCAGCCCACCCCTGTGTGTAGTTCATAATTTTTGTCTTCTTTTTTTTCCAAATTAAAAAATATATTCACTCCCCTAAAGCTATCTCACCTCCCTTTCTATTTTTTCCTTCTACTGAAACCAGCCAGTCACCTTAGTCTTAAAGTCTGCATTGAGTTGCAGTAATTTAACATTTTCTTTCAGTATGAAACTGTAGTAATCTACTAAGGGTTTGTAGTTTTAATTAGAGAGCTGGTCGTGTGAAATGGAAGAGAACCACAGACTTAGATGCCACAGACTTAAACTGTTTATTTTTGGTTTTGGTAAAAGAGGAAGTAGTGCTGCCTATTTGGCTCTGCCACAGGAACACTGGTTATAATCAATCAAAGTAAAAAACAAAACAAAAATATGTGGCATGGAAAGGTTAAATATAACAAAACATTTAACTACAGGAACACTGGTTATAATCAATCATAGTAAAA